ATGGTCACCTCAAGGCTAGACTACTGTAACACTCTCTACATGGGGCTGCCTTTGTCACAAATCCAGAAGCTGCAGCTGGTGCAGAATGCTGCGGCCAGGCTGTTGATGGGTCTTCCTAGTCGGGACCACATCTGGCCTGTGCTGAAAGCACTGCACTGGCTGCCAATAGCGTACCGGATTCGCTTCAAAGTGCTGGTTCTTACTCCTGCAAGACGGAGCTCTTCTGCCAGGCTTTTGAGTAGGAGCCGCCACTATTTTACCATCATTAGCTTCTGGCCCTGGGAAGAGAGAACAACAGCGCCACATGGAACTGGCAGCACTGATTGGGTGTACCATCTTCGAGACGTCATCTTTATCGAAGATCTTGTTTGAACATCTAGAGCACTTAATAGGTTGTAATTATGTGTAACATAGTAGTGATGTTTTTATATGGTTTTAATCTGTTTTATGTGTTGGCTTTGCCTGTCTGTGAGCCACCCTGAGCCCGCGTTGTGGGGAGGGTGGGCTATAAATTGAAATTATAAATAAATAAATAAATAAAATATTTGTGGGGGGAAAACCCATGGGCATAAATACTCACATGAAAAAAGTCCACATGGAAAACTGGCCACTTGGAAACATGGGCCATTATTGTGGATAATTATTATTCATCCCCATTTATGAGAATGAACAGGTATTACCTATAATTTATATTGTTAGTTTAAAGTTTGTTGATAACAAAATGGTCACTTTTATTTCCTGTATTTTCCCTTCCAAGCCTTTACACTCAAGAGTATTAAAGCCCTTTCCATACAGGCCACTTTTGTATAGTAAGTAATTTACTAATAACATAGCAAAATTATTATTTAATTATATGTGTTAAAATCACAACAAAATTGTTGCATGTGAATATGACATATTTTAATCCTAAATTAACAAACAATATAAAATATGTCATACCTGTTTATTCTCATAAATGGAGATGAATGGTTATCCACAATTATAAATATCTATGGCGCTTTACATGATATTTTTCTATGTGGGCTTCTTTCCACGTGGGCCTTTTTCTGTGTGTTTTTCCTGTATGGGCTTATTTCCATGCGACATATTTTAATCCTAAATTAACAAACAATATAAAATATGTCATACCTGTTTATTCTCATAAATGGAGATGAATGGTTATCCACAATTATAAATATCTATGGCGCTTTACATGATATTTTTCTATGTGGGCTTCTTTCCACGTGGGCCTTTTTCTGTGTGTTTTTCCTGTATGGGCTTATTTCCATGTGGGCATTTTTCCGTGTGGGCATTTTTCCACAGAACTGCATTAGGGAATGTTATAGGGTATGCTACCAATACACATTATGCAATATATTTTCAGGTGCCTAATAAAGGAATAACCAGAGACCTTAGCTGCCTAACCCTATTCCATCTTTCTTCCTCCTACCCATTCTCTCCTTCCCAACATGTGCTGCTGATGATAGCAAGTCTTTTCTGTCGCAGATACCATACAAGAGATTTGACTTAGTCTCCAAGATCCACATCCAGTGCTTCTTTTTGTGACTAGATTAACACTGAAGTGACCTGGGGTTGGATCCCAGGGAATTGTGGTGAATAGAAAGTGGTGAATGGGAAGTGGTGATTTACTCATTCCCACCAAAATTCATGGGGGTCCCCCTGTCCCCCAGAAGCAACATTTCAGGAGGCATCTTGGGCTGCAGCATGTGATGAAGTTGTGTGAACTGCAGATGGAAAAACCTCCCATCCATGGAAATTGCTGGTGGTTCCAAGCCATGGACTTATCCAGGGTGCATCATGTCCACCATTTTATTTTATTCACAACTGGATTCTGCAAACACTCACAGACTGTCAGGCTTCTTCCATTGTTATTGAACGCTTCCTGATGCAACATTTTTAAAAAGGGGGAAATTCCAAAACTGAGAACTCCACAAATGTATGATTTGCTAGACTGAATTAGAATAACTGCACACACTTTTAACACTTCCAAGACAGGAAGAGAATCATGGGCCCAGATCCAAGAGTGTGTGTAGTATCTTACACACGTTACGCTCTCCTTCCCTACCTCAGCCTCTTGCACCCTGGGAAGGATGAAAGTTCTGAAGTGGCGTTTAGTGTTGCTTAAAGGACTGGGATCAGAAGGGAGAATCAGTTCTCCCTGCACACACAGAAGCATTCTGGGCACAGGCCTCTTTGATCTGAACTACCAAGCAGTTATTCATGAAGAAACAATGAACTGTGTAATGTAGAAGTCAGTTAAAGAAGCAATGCAAGACAACTGGTGCTGTTTAACACCAGTTTACTTAAATCTCCTCATGATGTGAAAAAAAAGTCAGGGATTTACTGAAAACCACTTTATGGCTGATAAATACAATGATCATTTCACAAAAGAATGTTAATTTGCACCATATATTTAAACAGATTAGAAGCAAGAATCGGTGTATCAGTGCAACTAAACTCTAAAGCAAATGCCATTGAATTTTCAGATTAGAATCAAAAGGGAGTCCTTCCCAGAACCACAGCTCCAATGTTCCAATTCTTTTTTTGATGGGGGGGGGGGAATTGTCAGTCCAGACAAGGTTGGGGGTGTGTGTGTCAGTTCTTTGGCTACACTTCTGTACTAACATCTCATGGCTTTTCAAGAGACAATCCAAACCAACACTGAACGTGTTCAATGGGATAAAGAAGAGAGAAGGAAAAAGAGTATGACAAGTTTTTAAAAACCTAATCCCGTATTGGGAGAGAAGGCGGCATGGTATAGCCCAATGTCGTAAGCTAAGGAGGGTTGGTACTTGGAAGGGAGACCACCAAGGAAGACTCTGCAGAGGAAGGCAATGGCAAACCACCTCTGCTTCTCACTTGCCTTGAAAGCCCCTTGTTGAGGTCGCCACAAGTCAGCTGTAACTTGATGGCACGTTGGTGGTGGAAATACAAAACAAAAATTGTGTGCTTATGTACCAGGCAACTCTCTGGAGTTAGATCCCTAATACTTATAAGTAGACTTAACCCACTCAAGTATTCTATGAAAGAAAGAATAAGCTGCAGTAAGTGAAACAGCACAGAAAAGGCTTCACCGACTACATGAAGACAGATATTAATCGCTCCAGAATCTATAGGGAAAGTGCCAGGAGCAGGGGTCAGCCAGTCATGGCCCTTATCATATAAACATGAGGACTGGAAGAAGTACTTGATCCTACGAGCCCTTATTTGTTCACTTATCTCCCATTTGTTTTGGAATTTTTTCCAACCCCTAAAGATGCACCGAGTAAAATGGCATGGAAGAAATTTAAATAGACTCTGGTGTTGTGCTTGAGACTAGCTGATGCTGGATAGAGAGTGGCTTAGTCGGCTTGCTAACGATTACTTTTAATAAGGCTGGGGAACTTATTAAAAAAAACCACACTACAAAGACAAAAAATAAAAGATAGCTAGCAAAACCACCTGGGCTCACCATACACTGATGTTTACTTCAAGTCTTCCAGAAAGCATGGAGCAGTGCTAGAAACATTCAACAGTTTCAGGATGACTTGGGGGGGGGGCACACGCAATCAAGTTGTATTCTTAAAACAATAGAGTTTATCAAAGATGACAGAACCTAGGCTATCCGGAAAAGCATTGCATGATGTAGTTCTAAGTGCAATTTTATGATGTAAGTTGCTTAGGGAGCACATTTATGCAGAAACATGGGCCAGTATTATGCAGTGGATTGACTGAAGTCAGACAAGGGTTCGTTTAGGACAGCAGTGTTCACTCAGACTCAGGCTGTGCAGCTGCCCCCCCTCTCTTTCTCCCCTCTGCTGTGGCAGCAGAGCACAAGAGGGGCCCCTACTAGCTCCAAGCAACAGTAACTGGGAGCTCCTGCCTTTGCTTTGTTGGGTCAGCCAACCTGCCTCCTCTCTGCAAAGGGCATTGCTATCACTGCTGCTGCTCTAGGGAGCTGGGGGAAAGACTCCGCACAGCGCAGGATTTCCAAGAAGGGGCACTTCCTTGGTGTTAGAAGTGGGTATTGAAGGTGGGAAGTCACCCACACACAGCCCCTGCTGTAGCATTCCCTGAGCTTAAAGTGTGGAATTGTTTGGCTGCAAATAAAAGGAAATAAAAATAATACTCAGTGTTGACTTGCTTGACTCTCATAGCCTCTAGTTATTCGCTGCTGGTGAACAGCTGCCCTCAGATCAAGCAGGCTTCCTACATCTTTGAACAAAGCTGTTTTGTGGCATCTCATAGTACAAAATGACATCAGCACAGCTACGGGCAGGAGAAATCATGTCTGGATCACTGTATATAGCTATATACCGGTCTGCATATGTCGGAATTGGTGTTTTTGAAATGACTGGAAGTGAATCCTGATGCAGCTCTGTCACTTGTTTTTACCCCTCGTTATTGTTCTTACTGGGAAGCAGCAGCAACAAGTGTTGGGAATGTAGACTTCTGTTGAACAGCCAAGAGCCTGCAGGATTTGAGTCCTGTAGGACCAATACAGCCACCTCAGCATTGATGGAAAATCTCAATGTCGTATCACTATCCGCACACATTCCCAGTAGGCGTCTATGCACAAAAGCTGGCTTTATTATAAAAGAATTAAACACGACAAAAGGATCCAGCACTAAATTCTACTGTGTATCTCAAATCCAAAAAGTCTCCACTTAGCCAGTGGAAATGTGACGTATGGAGGATGAGTGGAATCTGGCCCCTGAAGTTCCATCTAATAGAGTCCCAGCTTCACAGAACCTTCTCTGCACAGCTTGATCAGGCCCATCTCTAGAAGGTCAATGAATTCTTTTCTTATCTGAAGAAAATAGATATCAAATGTAAAGCATTAAAATCACTGTGAGGCCTACATGCATGCATCTGTTTTATGCTCATTCACTCTCACACTCTCAAGAAAATAAAAATAAATCCATAGATCTGAAATCTTGCATTTCTCCCACTTTTAATTTGTACAAAATTATGAATACCTGTTAACAAGACACAATTTAAATCAGTGTTGTAGTTAGGCTCTTGCCCAATGAAATATCTCCTGGACCATCCTGGATCCACTGCTCAAGTCAGCCTGTTCAACCCTGAGGTAATTTGGATGCAAAGCTCCGCACCCCCAAACTATAGTCTGGAGTGGCCCAAGCTTTTCTCCTTTCCCTACTTTCCTCTTCTTATACCCTACTACAGTTTCCCATTCTGGTTTGGGGACAAACTATGAATTGTGTAGATCACAGTTCACCAGTTTCAGAGGTAAGAGTATGGCCTGAATCCTATGGAAATCCCATTCATACAAAAATGCCACAAGAGGGCACCTTCTTGCTTCAGTGACTGAAACTGGTTGCAATCTCTATGCAATGACTTTCTCAAAATATTTTACCCAGAAGCACAATGAATACTGAAAACTCAGAAAACCAAATTTTGGGTTCCTATATGTGAGGCAAAACAGGGTGGAAAGAAAAAAGATCAGTAGAAAGCAACATGGCTACCGCAGAAGGCACTTGGTGTATTTTTCTGTCAGAAATTTCACTTACCTAGCTGCTGACTTCACAGTTTAAACAGAACAGGGGTTGTCATGAATTAGAATGCTTGGCAGTCACCACAGTTTATCACAAGTCAGTAGGCTATATTTCTAGGTATGAAAGCTTAGAACTGCAACATTAACCTGAATGCAGGAAGACACAACTGAAATTTTTCTCTAAGGAGGTAAATTCAATTGTCAAATCAAATGATTTGCCAGAATAACTTCTTTAAAGAAAACAAGATGTGTATGCATTAATTTGATACTTTCTCTTAGGTGGGTGAGGGTGAACAGGAAAAGTCTGACAACAGACATGCGTTTGACATTCGCTATAACAGATTTTACTCTTTTTAGCCATTCAAAAATAAAGACACTCTGCTCTGTAGCTTTTTATAGACACAAAGGTTTTAAACAAAGCAAGACAGTTTATTTGGGGTAATATCCTAAACATCTGACTTGGAAGGAGGGTCCACAGAAATCAAAGGGATACTTAAATCTATTCAGGATTAAAATATAAAAAGGAACTTGGCAAGATAGTCAAAACCATCTGGAATCCCGTGAAATGAAGGCTGTTTCACACATTGCATTTTACAGGAGCAGTCTGAGAAGTTTAAATGTCCCAAGAACAAGCCAGACTAATCAGCACCTCTGGTGCTGTAAGTCAACTCAGACCCAGACAGAGGTGCTGATGATGGGCACTGGCTCCCCCAATTACTTCCAACAGCAGTGCAGGAGAAGGCAACCAGTGGGCTGACATCAGTCACTGTCACTGAAGGGCCTGAGCCCAAGCGAATTCTGCAGTCCTGGTGGTGGTCCTGAGAAGGGGCTCTGTTTGTTCCTGGCTACCAGAGCAGCAGCGCACTAGGAAAGTTCCTGGTGGGAGCTTCCGGTTTATGGCGACACGCAGGCAGACAAATCTCCCGGACATCCCGGGGATGTAAACTGCACACCAGCGTGTGGGAGGGGGTCCGCTGGGTCGCGACCCCCCCGGAGCCTTGGGGGCTTTTGAGGGGCGACCTCTTCGATGGCCGAAAGCCGGAGAATTGAGGCGCCCTCCGCCCTGAAGGTCCTGACGCTGAGTGACCGCATGGTACAAGTGCTGTTGACCGGGACAAGCGTGGCCGCCCCCAAAGGCCCATATAAACTGAGGATTAGAAAAGATAAGAATAAATAAGGGCTGAAGGACTCTGATTTGTGCCTGAAAAAAATGTTAAAATAACTTGGGGATGCTCTGGGAATTTCTTTAAACAGTTAAAGGGATGGTTAAACGATAATTAATTTAACACAACTGACTAAGTTCATTGTATTTTTAGTAGCTATCTTCTTTTTTAAAATAGTATGGAGTTAAGCTGATGTATGATCTCCTACTCTTGGGTTTTTAGTTAGTTGTGGGTCTGTTTTCTTTCTCCCTCTAGATGTAGTACCCTTCCCCATATTTTCTGTTGTAGTTTTGTAGTCTTTAAAAAACCCCAATAAAAACCTCCCCCCAGGGGGATGCAAAAAACAAGAAAGAAAGTTCCTGGTGGTAGGTTCAGCGGCCAACCCAACCCTGCGTTTTTAGATATCTGCTTAAGACACCCATAAAAAACCATGAATTTGATAAATGCATTTTTCAGCCATGTGTATTACACTCACTAGAGAATCACAATTGGCTGCAGCTCCTGATGAGTGCAGCAAACCCAGGTTTACCTCTTAATAATGTGTGAAATGGCCATAATTCAGTTTGTAAAACAAACCCTAAAAAATGCAGTTCTTCAGTCTGGAAATGCAGAACTGAAATGGTGAGGTGTATTTGTGTAAAAAGTCCCATGCATTTTCAAACTGTGAAACATAAGACATCCTGACTCTCCTGGTATGCAAGAGGTTAACTGTGTATAAAGAGCAACTGTTTTAAAAGATTGTTCCTTTGTACCTCAGGGATATCAACTAATCTTCTTAACTTCTGATCCCTCCAGTTCCAGTCTAAGATGACATACTTCAAGCCAGTCAGACTAAGGCTGTCTGTGAAGAAAAGTAGAAGGTAATATGACATATTCGATTTTGTCTTAAAGATCCTTCTGTCTTTTAGCTGTTAGCCAGTTTTATTATTACTATTTTTTGTGATCTGTAGGTTGTTTCTGTTTTAAGGAACTAGTGTGAGCTACTTTGGACATGCTACATGGAGAGAAAAAAATATAAGTACTGTAAATAAACATGGAGGGCTTTTAAGAGTTTTGATTGCCCCATCGTAAGACAAGTGAATTTTTGTACAGATTGAGGCCTGCATTTATCGGTTAGCCAACAAAAGAAGTTCCAGGCTTCCTTCTCACTGTGTCAACCTACGCCTCTTCAACAGTGAAAACACAAACACAGAACAGTAACAACCTGGCTGATCCCTTCTATTGTGTCAGCAACTAATTTCCAAAACTTTCACTTCATAAAAATGCATTTTTTTCCTACTGTGCCGGCAACAATACAGCAATGATTTTTTTCTTAATTATAGTGTGTGTGTGGGGAGGTGTTACAGACTGCAGAACTGCATGGTCCAACCACACAGCTCATTCCCTCCCTGGAGCAAACACTTCCCCCTTAACTGAAAAATACATCAGAACCATCAAGAAGTTAAGGCTAACCAGGGTTTTTCTTAATTGTTTCTTAAATCCAAATGTGGTTAGCTTTACCAGAACGTAATACACACACCAGGGTCTTAACCATGATTATGGGGTGTGTGTGGATTCAATCCAGGAAAGGGAGGGGCTATATGGATAGAGAAAGAAAGGGAGTTCTGACTGACCTCTAATCTCCGAGTCTGAGAGCGACTGGAACAGTTGATCAGTGGTATTCACTCTGTGGCTCATGAAGAACCACATTTGCAATTATCATCAACCCAAAGAGCCACATGAATTATGTATGCCCTGTGGGCCACCCCATCAAACACACAGGGCTGACACTCTGCGTCACTGTTGAACTTTAACTTGAGTATCTGGGGTGAGGGGATGGGCTTCCCTCTCTGCCTACCTGCTCTCTACTCAGCATGAGGCCCAGCAGATCTGGTGAGAGCTGTCTTCACATTGCTGAAAGACTGGATGCTTTAAAATATTTGATAGTGCTCTGTACTGTGAAGAAGTGAGGGAACAGTAATGGAAGACCCAGGGATGGAATCCAACATCATACCGTGGCCCTGTATACTATTAGCAATGTGTGGCACCCATCTGGTATACATAAATCTGCGGATGTGGGCCACATGGGTGCTAAACAGATTTTTCAGCAAATCTGAAGTACTCTCCAGGTTTGCAGAAAAATCTGAAATGTTCATAATATACATGGGGAGTTTAATTAACCCCAAAAGAAAAATAACATTCTCTACCTCCAGCAGTTGTCGGAGGAGCCTGGGAGCTGTGCTGGGACCAGCAGCAGCACAGCCTGGGTCTATGTGCTGGGCCTGGTGGCAGCGCAGCCTGGGAGCTGTGCTGGGCATGACGCTGTTGGTGTGCAGCCCAGGAGCCATGCTGGGCATGTTGGTGGTGGCGGCACACACTGGGATCTGCACCGGGACCGCCAGCAGCAGCAGCAGCAGTGCAGGCTGGGAGTCAGGCCAGAGCTGCTGCTGGCAGAGGTGCAGGCCCAGGAGTCACACTGGGTGTGGGGGCTCATTGAGAAATTAGGGGGGAGGGATCCCCCCAACGAGTATTGCAGGCCTACACTTATTTAATTATAATCTCCAACCCTTTTAAATCTCACATTCTTTTGTTTGTGTTGCAGCAACATTCCCATGGGGGACTGATAACATGGCATCTGCAATGCTCAACAGAGCTGCTCCTTGCGGATTAGTTCTAGGCAAGCTGTGCTTCTCTACCTTGCTCTATGAGGGCTTTTATCCTTCCAGGTGTCCCGACACCCACATGGACGAGACCTTTCTCCAGCATTTTTGCCTGTTCTTGGATCTGTTTCAAGAAACACAAGAAAAAGAAGCATCAAGGAGGAGGGGAAAATCCTGCCCCTGTCATTCCTTTTCAAATTCTTAATACAGTATTCAATGTTTGAAGAAAATTCCAAAGGGAAATTCAGCATTGCTACATGGAAAAAACAAGAGTGTATGTGGAAACATTTCATGTGGGAAAAGGAAAGTAACTTAACTCAATATTGTTTCCTTGTACTTCATCATTGGAGATTTCCCATCTTTACTGGTATTCACTATTGTATTTTTTTTTCAACCAACAAAGTCAAAATCCTTCAGCTGAACTGAGAAAAATATATCCTTGTAAAGTTAGCACTCAGCTGAATTTTGCACTAACTTGTCTTGGGCTGAGCAAAGAGGAAATGTACTGTGTGTGATAACATTTTTGCCAAAGCTTTCGTCCAGGTGCTTTTGTGGCAAAGTACAGTATGTGCTTCAGTTGGCAAGAACATGGGATCAGGAGGGCTCGTAACTCAGTGGTTTGCATGAGGTCCAAAGGTACAACTGTGGAACCTCAGGGTAGCAGTACTGGGAAGGACCAATGTTTGAGACCACAGAGACTGTTACCAGTCAGAGCAGTCACTATAAACTAAATGGGCCAACGGTCTGCCACTGTTCTTCAGCCCAATACTAATTGCATATCTGGTCACCTGATTGCCTGATCAATACATATCAGAAATGGCATAGGTCCCATTTTTAAAGTTGGTACCTAAAACAGCTGACCAGAATTCACACTGGGTTTAATGCATTTTTGTCTCTTATTAGTATATAGGGTTGTGGGTCGAGGGGTTATTTAATATTCAGAGGTACAACTGGGGTGTTATGTGAAAAATGTATTTTTGTAGGGTATGAGCCCCTGGGTCACCCGAGCCATGGGGTAGCCCTGCGGCTCGGG